TCTGAAAAAACTTCTAATAAGGTCTTCCAAACGACAATCATTACAGTTTAGCAAATGTTGTGGTGCTTGAACATGTCAGTTTAAGGGGCAAGAAAGTCTATAAGAGAACAGAATATTCAAAAGGAAAAACAGAAAGGAATACAGACTGATTTGAGACAATGATTTTCCATCATTTGAAAATTTTTTTGGTTCATCATATTTTACCTATCATAGATGGACTTGCGTGCAGTGATAACAAAGTTTTTGTTTTTTTTGCTCTCAACATGCGGTGGAGAGAAGTTCGTTTCTTAATCAACCGAAATCCACTATTTTAACGTTCTGGCAGCCAAAAAAATGGCGGACGAGTGCGTAACGTAAGAGCAAAAAATTTGAAACGCCGCAACCTGTGCTTGACTGAATAAAAAATACTTCCTCTACCAGCGAGGGGAGCGAGAAAGTAAAAAATACTGGAATATTAGCAACTTTAAGGTATATTTTAATTTTTATTCATTAAAAAATGCACAGCGTTGCTCAAAGTTTTTGCTAAAATTGTCAGGGAATGTACGGCGTAAAAAATGAAAATACCCAGAATGAGGCCTGCCGATAAATACTTATGAGCGGAGATTGTGCAGCATAGCAATGCTAATAAGTATTTTCAACTTAAGCCACCGATAGGTCGTTGGTCCGCGAGTGGCAGAAAATTAAAGTCATACCCAAAATGGGCTACTCTCCCAAATATGGCACAATACGAGGTACTGCATGCCGAATATTTTCGCAAAAATCTTCGACGCCCCGTGCAATTATAACATTTTTCTCTTTCTCTCGCAAAGAGATGTTTTTCTTCTTTTTTAATAATATTTTATCATCGGATTCAGAGTGTACGAGCGAGCGTGTCTCACTAAACATGTCAAGACTCACCACGACCACACCCTGAGCAATTGAGAGGTGTGTTTGATACATGTTCCGGTGTGATACGAAAGTGAAGTGTATTATGACTCCTTTATTTTGAGAAAAAATTAACGTGACGAGTTGAGCATAACGGATCACACAGAGGCGTATTTAATTTTAATAGAATTTAAAAGAGCAATTTTTTACTAGTTACAATGTGCCACAATTCGTCGTTCTCCGAGCGAAGGAACGTAACTTTATTCTAAGGTTACGAAATTGACCGATACAATTCGATTTTTCTCAAGAATGCACCCGTGCAATTTTTATCCTAAATTTTCTTGATTTTTGAATGTGATCAGATGAAAAATCACAAAAAATTTTAGTGAGTTACGCCCAAGATTCTCCTGGTAAAAATTGAATTTGGGAAAAGAAATTTGGCAACATTGAAATTTAGTTACGTTCTTTCGTGAGGGCAACGACGAATTGATTCTAAATAGTATATTTCTATTAGGCAAAAACAGGACTCTGAATCCATCGAAAAAGTGCTGCTTTTGCATAATGCTGCCTCATTACTCTTACGTGTGATTTTGATGAGCATCGTGCTGGCCACCCACCTATCAGCCTATTGTTGACATATTTATAGCAAGCAATTTTGGATAAGTCAGGAAATTCCTCCCGATTTCTCGCGATCGGTAATTCTTTCGATGAGTTTGACATATGTCAATACGAATACGTACAAATAGTCCGGAAAAGTTTCCAACACATTTTTACCTTATTTCCTCGTTACTCATATTTGTGTAAGGCCCAGTTCTATCACCTCTTGTTGTGGAGCTATCCTCTGGTTAAAATGTAACAAGCACTCGGGTACCTATTAAATTACAATCGGAGGTTCCTAATAATTGGATAAAATTTTGCAATTCGGAACTATAATTTCCGGCTCATTTGTAAAAACACTTTTTGTGTATAGGCTAACAAATGGTACATATATTGTTTCTAAACGGAGCCAGAAATTATAGTTCCTAATCTCAAAATTTAATCCAATTCCGAATGCTCCACGTCAAAACTGAAATTGTCATCCAGACTATAAAATGTACTAAAAAAGACCAAAAAATCCCAATATGGCGTTAAAAATTTAGCTTCGTTGGGAGGTTAAATTATATACCCCAAAGTAGCGTTAAAAGTCTAGTTTCGACAGGACGTTAAATTAAGCACCACAAATAAGCGTTAAAAGTTTAGCTTCGACTATAGAGGTTGAATTTAACTAGAAACGCTGAAACTGGACATTAGTGAATTAAAATAACACTCGTGAAACGGTATCATTTGCGATCGTGCTATCCGCGATCCACACGATACGCGGTCCGCTTATCCGCGATTCTCATTATACGCGGTCCAGTGAGGACGTTTTCTTGGTGTGCACTGAATGCTGCATGAAATGAGGAAACAACGGAAAAATCAGTTGTCGATCAGCGGACTGATTATTGAAATTGATAGACAAAGCGATAGACAAAGAAGACATGGGGAGTATGGAGCGATTGTAATGATTGAAAAGCATGGTTCCTATAGACTAAGGGAGAAAATGATGGAATAACTACAGGGTCTCCCGTGAGTTGCCGTTAGTTAGTCTATTATCTACCTCCTTTGTCTATTGTAACCACTCGCCTCCACCAATAGGATTACTCCACATAATTTTTGTCTACTTTGTCTGTGGCTCTGTCTATCGATTTCAATAATCGGCCCGCAGGTTGGTAAATTTTCTTAAATACTCGTGCAATGAAATTCAACTTGAGTCTGTATTATTCGCGATTCGCGATGTGTGCGGTCAGCCGAGGATGTTTTTCTCGCGTGCGTTAAATGCTGAAATTACAAAACAACGGGAAAAACTGGTTGTCTATCGAATTGGTGCAATTTTCTAAAATTACTCGATTGTTTTCTTTGAAGCTCGTTACGGAAGGATGAAATTTTGCTCATAACTTTAGACTAGCACAATATTTCATTAAATCCAGCACGATCACCGTTTTTTCTTATTTTTGTGTGCAAAATCTGTTTATAAAGCGAAACATTCATAAAACGAATCAAATTAAAACAGTGAAGGCGACTATTTACACTAAATTGTGTTACCGAAATGAAGAACAGGAAATATTCGCAATTTTCCACTTCATATTTTAAAAAATAACCCAGACTGTTAAATGGGATTGGTATTGCTTAAGAGAATTTGAAAATTGTTTGGATCGATTAATGATAACCGATGATAGGAAATGCCAATTTTTAAGGGATTGCAACTAAAAGCTGACCAGAGACTTTTTCAGAACGACCTAAATCGCGAGTAAAATAACGTCAAATCAACGTTCCAGCACTATTAAAAACGCTTTTTTCGATCCGTTGAGAGAAGAAAAAGTTTTTGTAACAAAAAAACTGGAGTGACGAAACCTCGGATCAATAGTACAATTTTCGCGTTCTCGAAAATGAGCGAGTTCCCAGTGCTTTAATATTAATATAACGTTGAACCTTCCCAATATATTTAAACTGACGGCAAGGAGCTGGGTATTTAGTTTTGGATGTCGATTTTTTGACGAGGCAAGTTTCCTTCGAAACAAGTTCTGTGCAAAAAATTACTATCATAACTCAATTATCTCAAAATTTTTTATTCAACAGACTTTCATCTGAATCAAGATGCCTTTTCGACGCCTGACTATTTTTTGGCTGATTACAGTGTTATATTTCTCGCAGAAAAAGAGTCAGTTATAACATCAGTAAAGTTCAGTCGGCGTTGTTTGAGGCGTTCAAATGAAGCTCTTCAAAAATTTTCACTTACGTCCAGGGTTTTTTATTACATCGAGGAGCCAAAAATAACTTAATCCGCTAAAAAAAGCACTGAGTAATACCTGAACTCAATCAGGGAAAAAGGCAGTAAAATAAACAAAACATACCTAACCGAGATGGTTTCGGATTTTTCTCTAAATATGAAATTGTGATTGAAATGTGAAAATCTGAGTTTCACGTGCTTATTTTCCGGCATTTTCATATACATAAACACTTTTTATGAAAATTTTCCTGCAATCGACGACTAAGGGCTGGAAAATGAAACAAATGTAATTAAGATGTTTGGGATTTTCTAGCTGAGAATGGAAATGGAAAAAATGCTTGTTATGTGCGCTTGAAAAATAAGCCTCTATAACCCGGAGTCTAGATTCTTCAAATGTTTGACAAGAAAACACATTCTTCATTCAATGATTTTTGCTAGAATCGAGAGCTAAACCTCTCAATTTAACCGGATTTTCTTTTGATTTGAGCGAAAATCCGATTGAAGCAAGGGAATTTTTTCTTGTTAAATCGTTTTAAAGTCTGAACTCAGTATCCAAAGGATAGGTTTTCCAACTCATATAAAACAAGAATTTTCACACTCACATTTCCATGCCCATCTCCAGTTAAAAGAGTCCAAACATCTTACTTCAATTTTGTTCATTCCCCAGCCTTTAGTCGTTGTATGCAGGAAAATGTTTCTTTAAAAGAATGTATGTATTTAAAAATTGCGGAAACCAAGCACATGAAACTAGGATTTTCATACCCCATTCTTTTTTCCCGATTTTCCCTGTTTTCCCCTTGAAATTTATTTATTTTCTCCACGGAAACTTTCATGCGAATAAGAAAATGAAACTAACTGAGCGCATGAAATTAGGATTTCCATAATCCATTCTTTTTCCCAGATTTTCTCTCTTTCCCCTTAAAATGTATTTATTTTCTCCGGGATATTTCCACGCGAATAAGAAAATGAAACTAACTAAGCACATGAAACTAGGATTTTCATATCCCATTCTTTTTCCAGATTTTTCCTGTTTTTCCCTTTAAATTTATTTATTTTCTTCCGGGAAATTTTCATGCGAAGAAGAAGATGAAAATAACTGAGCGCATGAAATTAAGATTTCCATAGTCCATTCTTTTTTTCCAGATTTTCTCTCTTTCCCCTTTAGATTTATTTATTTTCTTCCGGGAAATTTTCATGCGAATAAGAAAATGAAACATGAAACTAGGATTTATTCTTTTTCCAGATTTTCTCTCTTTATCCCTTAAAACGTATTTATTTTTTTCGAGAAATTTTCATGCGAATAAGAAAAAAACCAGGTACGGGAACTTACCGCCAATTGGCGTGTGCACTATCGAGGAAGAAGCCCAGGAGGAGGAAGAAGAACAAAATCGCGGAGTGTAAACATTCGCGGCGGGCTAACGCCATGCCGATCCCGAGGAGCCTCAGTTTGGCGCACATAACATGGCATGGCACAGATTAGCCGAAACTGACTGCGAGACACGGACACTGATCCACCATCACCTGCACTATCCTCCAACTCGAACCGCGACTGAACGCGCAACGCTCACCACTACTCGATGATCCACGCCGGCCGGGTTCTCTTCTTCCATTTTTCGGCCCTCAACCTCCTACCACCGGGAAAGATGGACCACCCTGGCCCCCTCCCCTCCTCGCGCTTAGGTCCGCGGCCCTCCCTCCTCGCCCCCCTCCCCCGCCCCCGCAAGCTGCGCCGGCCCTTTGTTCTTTCTTTTCCTTTCGGCCGACGCAAAAATTTCGCACCTGAATAACCGGGTGCTGATGCCGATGCCGCGGCCGCGACGCGCCGCGCCGGCGGCCGGCCGGCTTGCACCCAGCTGACGCATCCTGGGCCGCTCCTGATTCGCCGATCTGGTTTTCCTCGATTTTCTTCGCTTTTCGGCGGATGACTCCCTCTCAGCTCTTTTGCCATGCCGAAGGTAGAACGCATCGGACGCCGTCAAATTTCTTCCTAGAATTCACAATTTTTCTGGGAAAATTTCCGAGATATTTCTTCGAATTTCTCGAACACACAAAAACGTAGAACGCATCGGACGTCATCGAATTTCTTCCAAGTAATCACAATTTTTTTGAGACAATTCCCCCGATTTTTCTCCGAATTTCTCGAACACAACTTTTTCACTCATTTTTAACAATTTCTTCTAGAATACTGGAAATTTTGAGAAAAAAGATTCATAACTTCTCTCGAAAATAAATATTTTATCGCGGGGAGTTTGGTGACATTTGAATGGTCACACGTTGTTTTTTCTTGCAACGACAGTGATATGCTAAGGAAGAACGCCGTATGAACCTTTGGCTGTTTCCAATACGACTTCTTAGAGAAAGTTGTGGATATTTTTCTTCCAATTTGGCAGAGGAACGAGCGTGTCGTGGAGCGGTAACTTTACCTCACTGTCGGTTTGCCTTCAGTTTTGAGTGTAGGCAACCCGAGCTCCCACGTGGCCGAATAGTGATATCACTCTCAGATGTCACGATTGCTGGAAGAAGAAAGCAGACAAGCGTGGCGTGGAGCGGCGAGTTTACCTCACTGTCAGTTTGCCTTCAGTTTAAAGTGTAGGCAACCCGAGCTCCCACGTGGCCGAATAGTGGTATTACTCTCAGATGTCACGATTGTTCCAGGAGGGAAGCAGGAATAATTCCTCAAACGTCTAACTAGGACGTTTGGTATGGAGCTGTGATTTTACCTCGTATATTTTCATTTTTTGCGAAGTATTTTTCTGCCTGTCACTTTAAAATCGATTTGTGGGAAAATTTATATTGCTGAATTTCTGTATTTGTGTATCGAGGAATTTTTATGATCAAGAAATAATTAACACATAAATGAATAAATGTTCGCCCGGTTGGCAAAATTGCCCCATCCGCAGACTAAACACATTTTTTGCCACGTTCGCGGATTGGCCATCCCCCGCATCCCTGTTGTCTAGTCCAAGATCTGGGCAGCCAGCTCGCGGACTGGAATTGCAATCCATACGCTAACCGACGGACGCTCCCAATAAACCGATTTCTAACGAATATTTCTCGATATTTTTAACTAAACTTAAAATTAAATGTGTTAAAATAAAAACCAAAACAATGTATACAAAATAGGTTCGTGAATCAAGTTTACAATTAATTTTTTCAATTTATTCTCTAGGAGTTTTTAATAAAAATTTATGTTTTTTACAAACCCGGTATCCGAGCAAACAAAACTGTACAATAGAAATTTGTTTCATTGAGGGAGAGATGAATGAAACTGAAAGGAAAAGATAATTCCCGGCGCAAAAATGCATTAAATTTTGTTCAGAAATTATTTCAAAAGTTGGAAATTAGAAAATTCATGAAAGCTTGAAATTCGTTGGCCAATCAGAGAGCGGATTTTTTTTTTTTTTTTTTTTTTTTTTTTTAAATTATTAGAGGATTAAGATGAAATTCCTAGTCTTTCTACATAGGTAGTAAATTATTCGGGTGCAACAACTAGAGACAACTCCCATGCATCTCTGAAGTTGAGATAAAGCGAAAGTGCCTTCAATTTTGAACATGCAACACGCACATCCGTGGAACACGAATAGTTGTATCAAGGCGCTACAACCAACTCACGATCGATGTATTCTGTAGTATCCATAAGTCGAGATAAATACCAGAAATTATAATACGAGCAAAACAGCGAAGAAACGACCCGTTCTAAATTTCAGAGCTCGGAAATATTAGAGAGATTGATTAATCACATTATTTAAAAAATCATGATTCGGAAGGCGTCAATTATTACAGTTTCCAATGTTTTCCTTAATTGTGTTTTCATTTTTGGTGCCTAAGTCTTTTTAAGGATGGCCGATTCAATTATTGGTCTTGATACTCTGGCCCTGTGCCACTAACTGGTAATACTCTCTCCATATTATAGGTCTTTTGTTAACAGAGTGCTACAAATGATGAGTCTCATGCATCTTAGGGGAAGTGAGAAAAGCGAAAGTGCCTTCAATTTTTGAATATGCAACACGCACATGCGTGGAAAACGAATAATTGCACCAAGGCGCTGCAGTCAACTCAGCGTAGCCTTTGTGAAGCGGAAACGCCTCCAATTTTTGAAAATGCATCACGCACATCCGAGATCCTAAAAATATGAGCAAAATTTTTAAAGAAACTCGTATTTGTATTAAAAACGTTTGGGAAAATACAAAAAATAATTTGTAAAATTTATTTACGGAACCTGTTAATTATTTTGATATTTTCAAGTTTCGTTCGAAATTTCGCGAATAATTCGTCAGGAGTTGGTCAGTAGGGAGCATTTTGAAACAAATGATTGGCTCGTTGGCGTAATTTTCAGACTTTCGACCTCTGATATAGGTCGTGCTGCGGAATGGTCAGATGGTGCAGCCCTTATGCTTCGATTGTTGTGAGGAGCCTCTCAGCACGCCCACGCGTGTGAGGGTTGTTCACTTGTTCAGCTCTGATGAGAGGCTTCGACGAACGCGAAAAACGCCCTCAAAATTGAGAGTATGCAACCCCCCGACAATGGTGTTCGAATAGTTATCGCTCGGCATTTGGGAGGCGCGTGAGGAGTGGTCGGCATTCTCTAACGATTTCCTGGATTCTGAGAAGTATTACAGTATCTAACTGCCTCAAGATTGTATATTAGTCGGCAAGAAAGCGATTTTGGCTATAATTTTCAAGATTTTAGGATGAAGAAATAAGGAAACGCCAGAATATTGACCTTCCTTATTTTAAAGACCTCTGTCAAATGCTTTGACTAAATTGCTCTTGGCAATGGCTGATGTGGCTTGGTTCCTTTCTGTTTAACGTGGTCCATTTAATATCTACATTTTGTCGTTATTTGTCCCATGAGCCTCAGGCCACTCAAAGTGGTCCATACCCTAATTTTTCCGAAAAAATTCGCCTTACAAGACCGGAATGTATCGGCCTGCTGATGTTGATCTTTACACTTTAAAATTTCGTGGATATTTGTCGAAGAGATGTACGGAGTTGCTTCGCCAGTACGTTTCTACAGTTTCTTATGAGAGCCCATTTTGTGCAATTCTAAAGGAGAATGTTTTCCGATCCGAGCACAATGCAAAATGCAAGTCAAAGAGAATATGAGTAAATTGAAGTTCCCGCTTCTATGAATTCAGTTTGTGCCATCCGGAGTTTCCAAGAAAACTTCATTTTTGATCATGTATTTTATATTAGGGCTTCATGCCACTAGTGTAAATGACTATCTGAGCTGCATTTCCTAAAATCTTGAAAATTATCGCACGTTTTTTCTTGAAAGAAAAAGTAGAAGACATCTTTAAGATGAGGAAAAGAAAGGCAGTGAAAGTCTTACAGAAATGGTAAAGTTTTTTTATGGTTGGCATTACTTTTTGTTGATAAACAAAAGAACCTAACCTCATCATCAAAACACGATGGATTTTTCCGGCGTTTTCAGCAACGTGAAAAGTTAGTCAGTGTGGTGTACTTAAAGTTTGAAAAAAAAGAAAGAACTGGAGTGTATCTGAAAAATTTGAGAAAATAGTTCAACTCTGTTTACTACCTATAATAAACTTCGCCAATCTCTTGGCTGTAAGGTAGAGAGGAAGTTTGTATAAGATATTTCCGAGTAGAGATCGTCATTCAACTACTCATATTTGTAATATTAAGTCAGGTATGTCAATCTTTGATAGCTTCACTTTGAAGTCGCCTTTATAACTTAAATGGTGCCCTCCAATTGCTTTGCCAAAATAAAGTCTACAATGATCCCTTCACTGAACATAACTGGTGGAGCCTGTTGCAGTGAACCTCACTTGTAAATTTAAGCAATTTGATGTCTGCCAGTTCATTCTTCCATCTGTAATGGTCCATTTATACTGGCGCCTTAACCAGGGTTCGCGAGTGGAGGGGAGCAAAGGTGTGGAATCGGCCAAATACTGTCCTCATCGTGCGCAAAGCCTCGTCCTTGAGGTTTTAGTGAAATCTTCAACGACCTGCCAAAGGCCAATGAGGTATTGGTGCAATTCCTCGTCCATAAGTTTCCTCGCGGAGGAAGAATAGACCCAATTCCTTACCGCGAGGTTTTGGCTCGCTCGAACGGCAGGCCAATCTTTCATTCCTGGCAGATTTCCCCAAGACTCACCCTGCCACCCCTCCGGCTTGCATCAGGCCCTTGTTATGCCTGCTAGCGTTGGGCTTTTGTTATGCCTTTACGCCGCTGCTGGTCTATGTGTCAAGAAACTTCCTGGAAAGACAGGTCCGGGTGCGCATAATGGCTGCTCGTAAATTTTAAGCAGCGTGAGGGTTTCATGTCCAGGAGACGGAGATGAATCCGACATCTGGGAGAAATCTCACTAACGAGGTTTTGTACCAATACCTCGTCCACGTGTTCCTTGCGTTGGAGGAATCACTCCAATCCCTCATCTTCAAGACTGCGCATGGGCGAGGTTTTGCCAAGTCCTCCGCTCGCTACCCATGACTTTAAGTTCAAAACTTAACAGCAATGAAATTAATCAATTTATTTCTATGATTTACATTTCAGGATGGATGATCAAGTTTGTCCACGTTGTAAAACAACCAAGTATCGGAATCCATCCTTGAAACTACTCGTCAATGTCTGTGGTCATTCATTGTGTGAAAATTGTGTAGAGCTTCTTTTCATTAAAGGTTTGTACACATTACCAAATATTAAACGATTATCCTGTATTTTATTGGCATTGCTCTTATAAGAAACAATGTGAAAATGAATTATTCCAAAGGAACCATGTGCTACGTACTTCCCTTCTATATAATTCATTCACCCACTGTTCTTCTCAATACAAATGCATTCTATCGAAGTATCACTAATACTTACCACAGCCTCAGTTTTGTTATGCAAGAGCAGGTACTATGTGTTGAATGCATTACGTTGCTTAGTTTTTAGTTTAACAAATGAGGCCTTAAAATAAACAGGCAATGTGAAATGCGTGTGAATTGATTTTTGTGAAAACATCAAACTTATCATGAACACGAAAAATTTCTTTCATCTGATCAGGAGAGAATGTCTCAATTTTAAGTTGTAGCACTCAGTCACACGTTTGTCGATCTTATCCTATGTTTGACAGTTCTTTTTTACGATTCCTCTGTTTAAATCAGTTGTCAATTTAGGGTAACTTTGGCTATGCTCTTGAAGTAGATGCTTTAAGGTACAGTCGTTATATTGAATTTAAACTTCAACATGTTATACCCTCCAGGCAAACAATAACTCAAAAGAGAAAAAACTTAAGATACAAAGTTATGCCTTCCCCTGGTGCCATATGTTGAATGCACCTAAAAATTCAGCTTCTACACTTATTTTTTTGAGGGTGCTTGGCCATCCGTCAAGGCACCTAAAGAAGTTGGTGCAACTCATCGATTTTTTCAAACTTATATTTGCTAAGCAGCAGTAGCGCTCTCAACGCACTTTATACAGCCATGATGCGCCAACAAAAAGTTATTTGGCTCCTAAAAATTGGGCTCTGAGCTCTATGTGGCTTCTTAAATTTTAAGGAAGGCAGATCACTTTAAATACCTCAGAAGTAAGAGGCAAGTTCAATAGCTTGTATGTACACTCACCATATAATTTTGAGTTGGTGCAGAATTTAAACTTCATCTCTTTAGCTGACTGCAATAAAAGAATTTTCTATCCAACTTTTGGGCAGTTTAAAAAAATCAGTCTGATTTCCTACTTTGTTGTAAATTTTCCTCAAATTTCCTCTCTTACGTGTTTCAGGTTCAGGCAACTGTCCGCAATGTAACATACCGCTTAGGAAAACCAATTTCCGTCTTCAGTTGTTCGAAGATTCTGCTGTGGAGAAAGACATAGACATACGTAAAAGAATTTTGAAAGATTTCAACAAAAAAGAAGAGGATTTCAGCAGTTTAGATGAGTACAATAACTATTTAGAAGAAGTTGAAACAATCATCTATAATCTCTGTAATAATATTGATGTTTTAGAAACAAATAAGAAAATAGAACAGTATAAAAAAGAAAATAAAGAGTTCATTTTGAAAAATAAAATAAAATTAAGCAAAGAGGAGGCAGAATTAGAAGAATTGCTTGAAGAAGAAAAAGAAATCAAACTTATGAAACAGAAAGAACTCAAGCAGTTAGAACAGGATGAAAAAATGAAGAAAATCCAACAGAAAGAAGCCTTGATTGATGAACTGATGTTCTCAGATACTAATGCCAAGAATATCATCGACACATTCAAGCAATCAGCTCTCAGTGATTCAACAAAAACAGCGGAATCATCTAAAGCTGCAGCCGCAAAAATTACCAAGTTCTCCTCCGGCGTAAAAGTTTTTCAAAAGAATCAACAATCCTTCTTACCAGTTCCAAAGGTAGAGGAGGGGCCACTGTATTCTTACAAGCCTTTAGAAGTTTTTTACAATGGTCCCACTCCGCCTTCATGGGCAGACCTCCAAAGGCTAGGATACTTAAATAATGTGACGGAAGCATCTTTAGAGGAACATGCCAGTGGTTACACAATTGATCTATTCTGCATGAAAGCCTTGCAAGAAGCTTTTAGTGGTTTGTTTTATGTACCAAATAAAAAAACTGAATAAGGTATTCGTAACTTCTCAACTGCCCTGTTTATTACCGGTTAATTACTGTTGTTCCTTAGCCCTCTGGCACAAAACAAAGCAAATAACTCGCCTCAAATTCATTGAAATGTTCTTTATAGAGATTACTCATGCTGAAGATGGACACCCTTTACGCCCAAGGTCCATTCAAGAGTTATTTACTTCATCTCACATTTTGATTTTATCGCAGCAGTGAGCTGTTTAATATTTCTCCTTTTTTACATTATCCTAACATGAAAGTTCAAATACTATAAATTATTTTAAGGGTTTTTTTCTGAGAGATATTTTGTTTGATACAGGTTCTGTTCTCGATAAATGATTTTTTAATTTTGCACAAGATGAGGGTAAACCTTAGTACTCAATGTAACATTGTACTTTAGTGAAAAAACTATAATGGAAGGAACCAATAAAAAAAAATCGTCCCTGTAAACTTCTACGTCCTTCTGTATTGTATCATTCCAAGAAGAGCTTCAATATTTTTTAAAATGCCTTCTCTCTTCACCAAAATTATAATGATCACTTCCTCCTCAACATTTCAAAATTGCTCAAACTGTGTTATGTATAGTAAGTGGTTTACAATATTTTTATTTGATATTAATTTGAAATAATAAAATTTTTTTTTAAAAAAAAATGAGTGCTGTTAAGATTGCTTAAATTTGTTTTACCAAGTAAGAAGAGCCACTATAAGCGCCATTTGTGCCTTAACACAATGTTGTCAATTTTCGTAAACTTTTCCAATTTTTTACGCAAAAACTAATGAACAGAATCACTTGAAAATTTTCTTCTAATATTCTTTTGTCATCAAAATTAATCCTTGAAATTCTCAGGAAAGTATGTGAAACAATTTTAGAGAAAAAATTGAAACAATACTAAGATATCCAGCAACCTCTTGTCTAGGTGTAAATGGCACTTGTGATACTTTGCCCAGAAGGTGACGTTATGGTCATCATCATAGGGCTGAAAGGCTTTCTGTGGTGTGCAAATGCCATAATAGAGCTAAAGATACCTACAAATGAAGAGAGAAAAATCAGAGCCGGAAATTGAGGCATTGGTATTCATTCCCAGACGAATGTCATAAGGACGTTTAGTGAGAAAAAACGCTTAAAATATCGAAACAAACCAGAGCTTTGATAGCTTAAAGTTTGTCATTGATAAGGTTTGAGAGGGAGGTACCTGAAATATTAATATAAGCACTAATAAGGGCTCAAAACTGTTGCATTATAAAGTCATTTTACGCCAACTGTTGATACAAAATGTAATAGCTTGCAACTCATTCTTTATAATAAGATACCCCGTGTTTCCTGTCTAAAAGTGATATTATGATTTTTCGACAAAGTAGCTCACCTTAAAAATCTGCCTTTGGTCACTACGGTTCTTTACCCGATAGTCAGTTTTAAATAAATTCTTAAGTATCCCACATCATTTATTACTTGAAGTTGTATTTTGTTTGTCACCATCACCGTCATCATGCCCTTTGGAATGATCAGACTGATGACGAGTCTTCCTGAAAAATGGACCAATAGAAGGTTACTGCTCAAATTTCAGTTTGCAGCCTAATTGGAGCGCTTCAGTTGGTTTGAGCCAACCGAAAGGCTCCTACCAGCTATCAGTCTGCCATACAGTCTAGGAGAAAAACGGAACTAATGATCATCACTCGCCCATAAAAATGGCAAAGAAATGAAGAATGATACTCTACGACCATATAGTAACCGCATGAAAGATACCCTGTCTCTTTCTAATAGCATCATCAGTTAAATAAAACGCGAAACATCACACTCTAATGGCAATATATGGTGACAAACAATTTACGCCTTTCGAGAAAGAAAAAATAAACAATCATTCACAGACAAAAGTTTGGAATATAGAATGTTTACAGGAAAATAATAGGCTTGGATACTGTAAGAAAAGAAATCATTGAAGCATTTTTAGAAATGTTTTAATAGGTAAGTACCAATATCAGACACTTCACAATTGAAAGTTGCTAGAAAACAAAAGGCACACAAATAAATGATGCATGGATCATTTATCAAAGAGATGTGCCATCACTCATTCAAATTAAAATGTACCATGTGCTTGATTTATAAGTAATAAATGAGGATTCATGCCGTAGAGAGAAGATTATGTATCTTATTTGAGGCACCTTGAAGCAAAGGGAGCAAAGGCCTTTTTCCTGATGAGTCCTAGATTAAATGAGAATACTAGAATTATGAGGCTCATTGGTAAAATGGATTTTGCTCCCTTTGCTTCAAGATGCCTCATTTGGTTTCCATCAGGAAAGTAATCGTTAAAATGCTTTAGGAACTGAGCACAACGCGATTCAAGAAAACTTTGCGGCACACAGTTTCTCTGAGACAGCAACAGGGGATTGAACTAAAACAACCTCAAAAAAAAAAAAATTACATAGATATAAAAATAAAAAAAGAGAGATGATAAAGTGAACCAGTCTGATTGAGTTGTCCAGTTCTGGATGAGACCTTCTTCATAAAATAAGAAGTTTAGAAACCTTCAATATTAAGGTAAATCTAGGGGTCATAGCTCTGCACATTGCCACCAACACGCCTTTAGACAAGGTATGAAATAAATAACTAAGGAACATGTTTTCAACTTTTCTTGAAGAAGGCTTCTCACAACGAGGAGTCTGAAAGTAAACTCCTTGATAAGATACAAAAGTTCACAATTAAAATTGATTGCATGGCAAATATACAAATGACGTTATTTGTCATATCTAACTTTCATCAGATCTATGCTACAAATACTTGTTAATATCTCATTTAGGATTTGATTTCCAACTTCTTATCAAGTGAGTTGTTTTCTAAGTAAGATTTTAAGGAGATAAAATGTGAAATTTTCTTTCCCTTCTAACCTTGTCTGGTGAACCATTTGATAAGCACTCAACTGTAAGTTTAATTCAAAGTTCTTTTCAAAGAAATTTATCGATCGATATCGGTGTTAATATTGCTCATCAATAAAATTTTGGCCGCCATTCTTTACTTTGAAATTTGATCAAATTCCAACTCCTGAAACATTCGCCTACCTCATGTGGATTCAAATTGATGAGAATAACTCGAATAATTCTTATAATAACTCAAATATTGAAATAAGGGTGATAAGCAGATCTACAAAACCTAGATCCACTGTAATTACCACTTAGTATGCAACAGTTCCCCCTACTGAATGGGTGATTTCCATCAATACAAATTTCAAAAAAAGCCATCAAGTCTTTTTACTGTACATTGATAAAAACATTGCTGGAAGCAGAGTTTGACCAAACCAGACATAACATTACGATTATTGTCGAATTTTCAGTTTACAATGACAATGAGACCTGGCACAAAATACTGAGAAATACTTGACAAAACTATTTTAACAGACCAAAATTTTCATTAGCCTATTTTTTTTCGGTCTCACACTCAAATTCCAGTAAGTTCATGGCCCTGTTTCTGAAGTAAGTCGACAGCAAATCTGGACAACTAAATAAACACGATCAACCAGAAAATAAAATTAAAAATATCCACAGTTAAAACGAATATAATTAAACAAACTTAAAGCTCACTAGAGAGGGTTCTTTTCAATTTTTCGCAGACGGACGTTAATAACTAAGAAGTTGTTGCACATTTAAGAGCACGTCACACATAGATACTAATGGTCGGATTTGACTAAAAATAGTGTATTTCCTTTGTCAAATACACTAAAAAGGATGCAGTTCAACAGGATACCTGAAAGATTCAGTAAAATTTAATATCAGTCTTAAAAGAATTGCTCATCATCACAACCTTCTCTTGCCAGTAAACTTTTCGGTTATCTGGTTCATGAATTCAGTAACATTCCTCTAGTTCAGAGTTATTCTTACCCAGACAATAACGGATGTGAGAATGTATGATTATTTTTATGGTGAGAACCAGATGGATCATGTGAAGAAAATAGGCGTTCAGAAGAAAAAGCAATGCAACCATGAAAAATGAATAAGTCTCTTCTTTATTTCTCAAAAAGTACCTCCTACAGGTAGGTAAAATCCACTTGTACTGTTAAAAGAAAATATGCCTCTCAACTCTCTAACTCTTAGCAATGGTGCAAATGGATGAATTTCAGAGAGGATATGATCATATCACTATTCACATAATGAGGAAAATTATGTTGATGAAGCGGACTACTGGATGAGATATGAATTTAAAGATTTTGATTTATACTTCCTTCAAAATTTTAAGCTTAACAATTTTAGCACTTTTCACAGGGCCTTGCAATTTAATATTATTTTTACAGACAAAAAAGGAAATGATGAGAGGTGCGCTGTGTTGTGATGAAGCAGCAACATCAGTTTAGACTTCCTCTTTGAGGAGGATGACGGCCAAAAATTAAACATTCAGGAATGGAAATTGATGCGGTATAATATAATCACTGAGTGAACCTATGAGAGTTTGATGATTTTCAGAGGGGTGGGTAACAGGAACATCCGGAACTAAGTGACCTGAGTGACTGGTCAAGTCTAAATTACCTATCTGAGACACTTCCAATGGAGGATGCAGTGTGACATCACCAGTTAAGAAAGAATCAGGATCTGTTATCTGGAAAGTCTGAGAAGTTGGATCAACAAATATGTCTTGAGTCTGTTTTAATGGATCATTCACAGACGCAGCTTGAAGCATGTTCTCGACTAGCTGTAAATGTGCCATGTCAATGGACGGAGTAAAAAGCAAAGATTGCTTTGCATCATTCGTGGATGGGAAGTCCAAGTTCTGATAGATGACTTGAACCGACTGCATTAGTCCACAATCGTTGACGTTAACACTGAGAGGATCGGTGTCGTCTGTTGGCGGCATCGGCAGCAATACCTCATTTTTAATAGGATCGTTCTCTAATTGGAATGTTTTATCAACTTGCATTTCGGGAAGCGTTTTAACTTTCCTCCTGGGTTCCACTGGTACATACTCTCCGTAATCATTTTTCGTCAGTCTTTGGAAGTTCTTTGGGGAGTCCACCCTGCCATGAGCAATCAACTGGTGCCGCTTTAAGTTTGAGACCAATTTGTACGCTTGACCGCAATGACATTTCTGCGTTCTTTCCTCACTGTGTGTGGCCATGTGCCTTTTCAAGCTGCTGTTCAGTTTGAAAGACATCCCACATTTTTCGCAGCTGTAATTCCTCTCTGATGAATGGATGCAAGTTATGTGCTCTTTCAAACAAGAGTACGTGTAGAAACTAGACCCGCATTGATCACAAACGTACTTCCTATGTTGCGTATGTTGATCGATGTGTCTGCGCATATTTCCTTTCGACTTACTTTTATAATTGCAGAACGGGCACCTTGAGATATTTTGGAGAATTCCATGGATTTCTTGAGAATGGATCAGGAGTTGATTCTTGTTGGGGAATGTTTTCAGGCACACGCGACAGCTGAGACTGGGATTCTCTGAGGTCGGTGTCTTTTTGTTCGTATGCCAGCTCGAGCTGAGGTGCTGCTTGTAAGAGCTAGCTTTGTTGAAACTTATTTTGCAGGTTTTACACTGGTACTGGCCCTTCTCTGTAATGAAAATAAAAGTTATAATCAGTACTATTAGGTAATGCATTTTAATGCCAAAATACAAGTTAAACAAGTAATATTTCAAACTACATGTAGATGAGAAATAATATAAAACTTACAAGAAACAAAGCAAACGTTTCGACCGCCAACAAACTGCGATCTTCTTCAGTGCATAAGGAACAACCATCTACATGTAGTTTGAAATATTACTTGTTTAATTTATTTTCGGCTTGTAGCTCGATTTTTAAATCAATTACCATGTGCTATTATTAGGTAACTGGTTACAAAAACACATAAATATTTTAGACATGATTATGAATGAGAAGTTACATGAAATGGGTGAGGATTTTGATTTTTGAAGAAAAGTAGCATATAGATTACTTAGGTCGAAAATAAGTATCTCAGATTATGGTGTGCTTACTCTTCAGTCATGTTCCATTTTTTTAAAGGAAAACTAACAAACAGTTTCTACTAAAGATATCTAGACTCTCTACAAACATTATATAAAACTGCAAGGAGGCACTTCAATTAGCCTTCCTTGAGAAGAATAAAACATAACTGGAGATTTGAAACATGATTGAGATACTCATTTTCCGCACTTAGCTGTCAATTGACCTATGAATTTTGAAAGGACAGTAATCTGGAAAAATTACATTTTCTTTGCAGATGGTTCAATTTTTGTTACACTTGATTTCTTTTGCTTCGTGATTCCCAGAAATTATGCATGTAGGGTGGTGGATTTATAAAGAGTGCTACAAATAAGACTTAAGAACTTCCAAACAGCTCTTACGAAACTGTAAAAATCCACTCCAGCCCTGTTTTGGGCTATACTTTAAAGTAAAACATTTGAACCAAGTCTCTGAACTATTTCAACTTGTTGCTGGAAATGTTGTAAGCAAAAGCAAAACTCTGAATTTTAGCCTATGAAAAAATTGAAAATATCATTTGTTTATGTAGATATCTTTCAAATTTCATATGCTCCAGAAATTTTATGCTGATCATCTCATTGGTGGATTGAAGTTGCATGATTAATTTTCTCTTTAGGTTGCATCTTAGAAAAAAATAAACAGTTCTCTGAGTTCACATATAAGACTATGGAATGATCCTCAGATTCAACACTGATGGAGGAAACAAACGCCGTAATTTACAACCGGTTTTTTTTGACGGAGGAAGGGCCATATTTAGCGAACATAATTATATTCAGTTGTTTATCATATCTTATTGCATAGTTTTCTTACCATAAACATGTCTCTGACAGCCAAAATTGCCCATTTTTCATGGTTTTTTTTTAGTTTTTTTTAGTTTTTTTTTTTTTTTTTGGACCAGTGCACTACAAGGGAGTATCGGGGTGATTTTTGTGTTGAATGACCTTTTTTCAATTGCAAAAATACAAGGTAAAATAGCGGTCTTATACTGCAGATATTTTCCCATTTGTGATAGGATTGAATTTTTGGCAACTTTGAAAGCTATTTTCTCAACAAAAATTTGATTAAAGGAAACATTGAAAACTTAGGGTATTTACACTATTCTGTGTTGCTTGTAATTAGTTCATTCAAAAACAAGCTAGGAGTAAGATATGAAACATATAGGAGCTTCTTACCTTCATGAGACTTCAGGTGACGGAGTAACTTTCCTTTTGATTCGAAAACATTGTTGCATGTCTTACACTGATGTATCTGCTCTTCACCGCGAATTGAATGACCTAATTTGACATGATCTGCGATCTTGTTTCTAGAGGAGAACCCTACATTGCAGGTGATGCAAAAATATTTGTCATGTTCCTGTGAAATTCAGCAAAGGAAAGTTATTAGAATTCACAGTTGACTTAATGCTGAAATTTTGCGCATACCTAGATAAAAATTATTGTTTGAGAATATAGTTAAAATAGGCAAAATTTAGGGTAAAAAAATCCGAGTTGTTAAATCCTCTAATGTTACAGTTATTCCTAACTTCCAGGTGTTATAATTATTTCAATTGAGCTGAATTTAACAGGAATGAACAGTCGCAGTTTAGAATTAGAGAATGAAAAAGGAGTAGTTTAGCATTTAACCAGCTGTACATTTCTTTCTGTTGAAAAATTAAAATCAAGAAAAAACATACTTTTTAGTACTTGAAGATTTGTCAAAACTCAGCAGATTTGATCAGCATGGACTTTGAGGGACAAATCATACTTTGATGGCAAAGAAAGAAGATAACAAACATCTTTTAAATGCTGCTGAAATAAACAAGAGAAGTAATTGTTTGCAATTCAAAAGTAAGTACCTGCCATTCAAGAATTTACCACGGCTTTTTTGGAAATTCATGGTAGAGACAGTTTTCAATCAAGTAAGAAAGGACTAATAATTTCCGAAATTTTCTAGAAATCAATTATCAATGCTGCTATCAGTTTTTGAATACCACTGAAAAATATACCATTGGAAAATTTTGCACGCCAGCTTTTCGTTTTTACTTTGGAAACCTATGACCTTAGAGTATTCATGTATCCCTGACTAACCAGCCTACCATACATTTTGAATGAAGAAAAATAAGATGAAAATGTGTCAATACTCACACTCATATGTTTTAAATACTGTTGATGCCGTACAAAGGTTTGTTTACAAGGTTCGCAGGTCCACTTTTTACTTTCATGCTCCAAGGTGTGGGAGTCCAGTTCATGGGGAGAATCGAAGAACTTTCCGCAAAAAGTACAAACAGAGCATTGTTTAGAATGGTGCAGTTTATAATGTTTGAGGATTGATCTTTTCTGAGAGAATTTTTTGAAGCAAAATTTGCACTCGAAAAAATTCTTCTCAAGCTTGGTGCTGTGAACTTCTAACATGTGACTCTCAAGGTGCTTCCTATTTGTGAATAATGCAGAGCACTGAGGACAGTTGTTCCTTTTGTGCCCACTTAAATGCCTATCAAAGTGCTGAGCATTGTAAAAGACTTTCTGGCAATAACTGCATTTTTTCATTAAGCTATCCTTAATTTGCCGCCGATACCTTTTACATTCATCATACTTAGAATGTAGATTGAAGATAAATACATTATAAAACTCCTTTGTGCATGTTCTGCAAGCAACTGGACCTTTGGGATAAGACTCCGCATGCACAACTAGCTCTTTCAGAGTAGAAAAGTTTCGTAAACAATTTTCGCAAACAAATTTTGAGTTTTCAGGTTTGTTTTGTTCAGGCGTGGAATCATTCCTTTTTTCGGGTTCAGCTCCTGGATCGGGGATTTCTTCCGTAGTTGGCGACCCGGTTTGAATATTGTTTGTCGGCACAGGTTGGCTTTCATTAGATAAGCTCCCTCCTGAATTAGGATTTTCGAGTTGATTAGTGATTTCTCCTTCTGCAGGTTTTGAAATATCACCTAAAAGACATTAAAGATATTTTAGTAGGTACACATGAATGGACTTTCACAAGTAACTAAGATCAAAATCCTTCACTTTAATTGGTGAATTGGGAGTTCGGGGAAGGAACTTCATGATTAGAATTGAAATTTTGGCCTAAAAATGCTTGTAGGTAAAACAGTAATTTTGTTTCACTACCGCTTCAGTTGTGAGGAAAAAGGCTAATACTCTGATTTTATCAGTTAATGATGAACACGTTTGCACTGATTGCTCGATATAAAACAAGAGTGAAACTTAGGTGGAAGAACTCTGCGTATGCATGATTGCAGTGGATGATGTCATATGCCATGTTTTTTGGTAGTGGGTAATATGTATATTATGGACAATAGAATGTTGAACATAGAAATTTGGCGGTTCGACAGATCTTATTACTTTTTACAAGATAATCTATTCACATATAATATCAAAACACGATCCTGTAACCAGTACAGCTGACCCTTTACGAGGTGATCGACTTTGGAATATTTTATCTTACAATATACTCCAAGAATCACCTGCCTTGCTCACAAATAAACAAGATATGGATAGCAAGAACATGTATTTCTCAAAATGCATTTATTGCTAAAATAATCACGGCAAGATGTAGTCTTTGAACTTGAATTACTGTAAGATAACGCTCAAAATTTAACTTTCTTCTTAAGATTTTAGGAAATTCCACATTACCTTCTGACATGAATTCCTCCAATGAATACTCTTTTAGAAAGGTTTTCAACCTTAAAGACATATTTTAAACCTAAAATAATTATATTTGAAAAATCTGATGGAGAAAGTTCTGACCTGCATGGGGACCACTCCAGGCCAATGCATCTTAGAAACTAAACCTTTTCAAATATTGGTCCGGTTCTTTTCTACGACATTATACCTTAAGGATAAGGTGGGTATGCTTTATTCATACATACTTCAATATGTCTTTTGATAGTAATGCTATTATAAATTGAGAACGATTCTCATTTAATTTGAATCTGTTCATTATTGAATTACATTATAATTGTTGTTAATTTTTACAATCCACACGCCACAATTGTAGGACTCAGAGGTAGCAAAAATCTTGGTATTTGAACAATCATCCACAGAGCAAGTTTTTCAAAACAGTTCACTGAACTTTCGCTTCCAAAATTTTAGCGTATATGATTTTTTTAATACTTCAAATTTTACCCACAACTGAGTCTTTTAAATTCCCAGAAAAGTTCTTTTCCATTTTCTAGGTACATGACTTATTTCTCTGTCTTGATGATTGTTAGTAAAGATTATTGCAACATTACAAAAAAAAAAAAGCTATAATAAGATACTTACAACTAGAAGTAGATCCACTTGGCTGATCTTGTGCAGACGTGATGCAATTTTTCAGCAAGGAAAAAGCTACTGATTTATCTATCGAATTCAGTTGGGCTAAAGCACTGAGCATTGAATCCACCTGAAACAGAAAGACAAGACAATCAGATATTTAGAAAAATCAACCAGGAGGATACAAACCTGATGAGAGTTTGTTCATCCTATACCTACAGTGACCAGAGTCAATCTTCCATTATCTTTGAGTCGTTGTTTCTGAACAAATTTAAACATTCCAATGGTAGCATTGATAATAGACTGATTTTGTGCAGGGCCGGATTTACCAATAGGCTACATAGGCTGTAGCCTAGGGCGCAAAATCTTTGAGAATTTTTTTTTTTTTAATTTAACGAGTCTTTTGTTACTTTTCATTTTCCAAAACCAACTTGCAAACGTAAACGTCTCAAAACTGTTTAAAATCGTGTTTTTTTAAAGGTGAATTTGAACATTTTTTTGACACCTAACATCATCCTTCTGATCTGGAGGGGAGGGGCTCCTGGGGGACCCCCCCCCCCCCACGAGAGCGCCTACTTTTAAGGGCGCCACTCTAAGTTTAGCCTAGGGCGCTAAAAACGTAAATCCGGCCCTGATTTTGTGGCTACATCAATCTTACAGATGGTTCAAACCAAAAGAATGGAACAAAATTTTGAGCGAGTTAAGTAGAATAATTATTTGCAACGTGTAATTAACGAGTCATAAATCAATTCATGACTTTTAAAACACAACAAATTTGGTTGCAAGAAACAATAGGCTTGTTGCAAACTTTTGCTGGAGCAAAAATAAGAGTTTTTGCTCATAGAAAAAAATGCCTCAAAAATCACGATGAGCGCATCAGCAAAGTATGAAATGCACTCCTTATTTCACAATTTGCGGAAGAAATTTGCGTTATTTCAAGCTTCCCGCTTCTAAAATGATACGACAGCACAGGTGAACAGTTCGTTAGAGGAGTCATTCCATCTAGCCTCTGCTCACAAGGATACTTCGCAATAATCCACATAGCCAACGCCAATCCGCCAAAACACACGTGGCGGGCAGTGATTCTAACCACCTGATAACAATCAGCATGTTTACATTCACATTTTTCTAGCGTTGATAGATATCCGCCTTGATTGACCTTGTGCTCTCCTAAACTTGAGCGCGGAAACGTCGGCCATGTCGATCAGGGATTGAATGGAACAACTCCTCAAATGAAATGTTCACCTGTGCTGTGGTATCCTTTTTGAAGCAGGAAGCTTAGAAAAACGCAAATTTCTTTCGCAGATTGTGAAGTTAGGAGTGCATTTCAGAGTTTGCCGATGCACTCATTGTAATTTTTGAGACATTATCTATAAGGAACAACTATTATTTTTGCTCTAGCAAAAGTCTGCAACAGGATGCACTTTATCACCATGGTGCAAATACAACATGGTTACGTGTCTATTTACAATTGAAATATCGGACCTGCGATGATGAAACCACAAAATCAGTTTATGACTTAAACAAAAATACAGGAATTATCTTTTGTCTCAATGATGAATAGCTGTAGTTTAAGTCTCTGGTGATCACGACAACAGAATGAGTACAGCAGGTTGAGGTGTTTCACAAGAACAAAATCAGAGTGTTTTTGGACATATCTCTCAAAGTGTATCCCGCAATAGCCAAGTTGAAAGAAAAGATAAATGATAAATCAGGTAGAGGTTAGAACCAGATGAAGGGCACAGCTGTCATTTCAACCTATACATTAACTGAATAGATAAAACTGGCATCATATTGAGTGAAATAAAGGACCTAGAAAGGAAAGCAGACTTCTAGTAACCTACAGAAACTGGTGATATGGAATGAATTCCATCATTAAAAGAGCACCTCGTTAAAAATTAGGTCGAGTCAGAGGAGCCATTTCGGTATGCATGGTTGCTTGAAGTTTGCGAGGCAATTCCTTACAGCAATGTTGCAACAACTGTGATGCAAACATAATGAAGCGTTTTGTTGGGAGAACGGATACATGTTCACACTTAGCTCAATTTAAATGCGCCACGTAATGCCACAGTTCATCTCACCATGACGATGAACGACAGTTCAGCTTACTTGACTACGTACTGAATAGCAAAATGTTCGGTGACTCACCTGACTTTTAAAGTTTTCAAGATTCGGATTTTCCTCCATTTTTTGTTTTTGAAGAATTTGAGATGAAGGAGTTCAGCAGGCAACTTTGAGGTGGATTAAACTGAAGGACAAGAATGACCCGATGGCTGGCGATTGTCGGGTAAAGACGCAGCGAAGCCCTCGGAACATTTTGATGGATAAAAATGGAACATTGTAAAGATGCGTCGAAAATCTAAACGCACAAAATGATAGAAATATAGAGAGAAAATGCAGTATAACGATTAAAAATCGCGTAATCAACACAGTCAAGCTATCAATACGAGTAAGTATAAACATAACCTCAAATACAGGGATTGTTAAATCGATTAACCAATCAAAATCTCCGAAGCGTGGAAAGTGCAATGACCAATCAAAAACACTCGTAAAAGCGGAATTTTCGAATCTGCGCGGGTCTTTTTGAATTTGCGGGTGGGTGGCAGTGCGCCCGCAACATGGTTTATGAAGGGTGTCTGCGGATTTCGTCGAATTTAAACTCGAGAACCGAGCCGAGAATAATGTTCTGTAGTATGCAGTTCTGCGGCGAGCTTTACCCTAAGACTGCTCTTACTTATATCATCAACATCTCATTTTCCTCTCAAATTTAAAGTAAATACAGGGTGTCCGTAAAGTCCCCTCTCTTACTCTAACTTTTTATCTAAACGAGACAAAAAGTTGAAACCTGGGGAATGTCGCTAGGTCAACAGGAGCTACTTTTTGGCCATCCAAAAATTTCAGGGGGATCCCTGGGGGGGGGGGGCGGCGGACGGACCCCAACTTTGTTTTTCACAGAGAGACTCTCCCTCTGTATATTTCGTTCAAAAAAGTATAAAAAAGACAATTTTTTGCGCAAATTCAAAGTCATTTTCTCAAACGGTTTAAAAACGGAGGCCGGTTAAAGTTCAAAATGACCGAAAATTGGCACAGCAGTTTTTTGCCCATGGATTTGCCGGAAACTCGGTACCTGAAGATACTTTACTACGAGCAAAACAAATTTAATGTTATATGTTGGAGAAAAAAATCAAACTTTATCGAGAACTTCAACCGGCCGCTACTTTGAAACGATTTGAGATAATGACTTCGGGTTTACACGAACAATTATCTTTTCTTATGCTCTTTCGATAAGTCAGGGGAGTCTTTCCGGAGTCCGTTGCTTCCAACCCCCACAAGGAGCGTAAAGGGGGGGGGGGGCAAAAAGTAACTCCAACCGCCAAATTTAAAATCATTACCTCAATCACGTGAAAAGTTAAAGGTGGGGAAAGAGACTTTATGGACACTCAGCATTATATCCTCGACTCTCTTAACTTGTTTAGTGCACTTTGATTTTACACTTACAATTATATTCTCTCTTAAGTAGACCACAATACGTAGTAAAGGACCAATATGTTTGGCTATTTTACTACTACTCTTCTATATCCTATTACCTCTTCTATACTTTCTCTCCTCCTGCGTCATGAAAATTTGCACCCTTATAACAAATTACGTCCCACTTTATCGGTCTGTTTCACCCCCAATTTTTAGACGAAAAATATTTTTGTGAGTCAAGTTAAAATAAAAAGTCAGCCACATGAGGCAACACTTGCTTCGGTCCCTCGGTTTGCCGGAGCAAGTTTGTATATCTTCGGATCGTTGTAGGATAGGTTAGAGTACCTGTATAGGGAGAGTAGCGACAGATCGGTTCATGGAGGGCTTAGGGCCCAAAAGTGCAGCCACCCTTCTGAGCAACTTCTAACACACAAAATTTCACTGCCAGCCTACAGATTTCAATTCTAACCAAGATGGCTAAGAATGTACATAAATGAGCGTTCTTTCGCAAAAATAAGTAAATTTATGCAAAAAGTAAACCAAATACATGCTTTCTAAACGACGGTTCGTAACAATTGTATTTGAAAATCGCTCTGGACATTCGAAATTCATAGGTTGGCTGCCCTTTTGGGCCCTAACTTTATTCGCGGAGGCATCGGTGAAGGCCTGATGGACTTTCGGAGTTTCAGATCTGTCGCTACTCTCCCTATACAGGTACTCTAGGATAGGTACTTTCGAAGAGGTTTTTTTTTTTCTTAACGTGCCTGTAAGCTCGTGGCCGTGTTTTTCTGTTATCATCTTTTGATCTGTAATTTTTTGCCTTTTCTGAAATAAACAATTACGAGTATTACAAATATAGAAAAAAGGAGTTTCGCAAGGAATGAGAGAATACCAACTCCGTGAGGGGCTGTGGTGAAGAGTGCACTGTGACGGTTAGGTGTCGCAGAGCGTCAAAAAGCGCTGAAAAAATGGCTCTCGTATATGTATGTGTCGTAGGTCAATAGTAAGAGCAGGCATTTTGTCAAATGTCTTGGCTAATCGTCAAATATTCCTACTTAGATTGAAATTTTGATTTTTTCCCTAATTTTAGAAAAAAATAATTCATTGCTCCTGTAAGAAAGTTTTATCTGAAAAAATATGCATCATGCAATAGTTTCTTAAACAACTTTTATGTCCTGAACTCACATTTATCTTAAAATTTTCACCAAGTCGCATAAAATTTTTAGAGAATTTAAAATTTCGACATTTAGATGTACGAGAGGCATTTGAAAAGGAAGGTACAAGGAAAATTCGCAGATTTGAAGAGTTATTCATCTCCAAACATTGAAAACCCGTGAACTCCTTTCCATAAATTTACAGAATTCCGTAAACTGTCAAAATTCGACTACCATTCTAAGCATGTGATAAAATGCCTGATTTGACCAATTGCCTTCGACATTTTTGTATTTCAAAAAAAAAGCAAGAAAAAAAACGGAAGTTCCTAGTTCTGTTTGCCACACGATTGTAAATCGAATTTTGAGGTGTGCAGGGACCGAAGTTGGCGGTGAGAGACATTTCGAAACGAGCCGAGCAAACATATCCGCACGGTAAACGCGGGACATGGAGGGTGAGAGAACGTGGTTTGCGGGGGTGGGAATGGGGGTGGATAGTGGGGTTGATTGGACAGTTTTTGAGTGTCAATCGTAGATCCACCCTCTCGCGCCGATTATTGCGGATAATCAAGGTTGTCGTCATGGCTTCGACCCGCTGACCGCTTGTCCAAACGTCCACCCACTGTCGCCTAGGTACCACTCTTGCCGGATCGGACCCGTAGAGAAATGGAAAATTATTTGAGGGGCTTGAAGGATAAGGCGCGTAAGTGCAGTTTTTGAAAAAAAATGAGATAATAATGATTTCAAGTCAAACTAAGCTTGATGCAGATTCTGTGAAAAATTATTTTCCAAATTCCAATTTTTAAGCATCCAAAAGTAGGTTTGAACTTTCTTTCCGCCATTGGGATCCATGTAATTTCGAAACTTCAAACACTTATTTCTCGAAATAGCAAAAACTGCACTTATGCGCCTTGTCCCCCAAGCCCCTCAATTATAATTGGACTGAATTAATGCTAGTTTCTTCGAAACTACTATCGTATTTACAAAGCCAGGTTTAACATTGCAGTGCAGATACGCATTATCCGACTTTAGCCATCGAAATGATCGAAGAAGACTAGATCTACATAATTCAATATCAAGAACTCAATTTTGATCTCTTGTGGGTTAAGAATCCCTTTTCCGCGAATGAACACAGACTGTGTTTCGCACGAGGTGTGTCATCACCCACGTGCGATAGAGATGTCTAATTTTAAAGAGTGTTTGGACGAAAGTGAAAAACTGCCTTCAAAGTTGGAGGTATGCAATTGCGTGACGGCAGTGATTGAATAGTTATCGCTTGGAGCCCGGGAGCTACTTTAAAGAGCGCTGAGCATTTCTCTACAAGTTCCTGGATTATGAATGATAATAGGGCATATTTATGTTAAAAGAAACTATGTGCATAGGGTCTGCGTGTGACATAGTTCCTTTTAGCATAAATACTTCCAATATTATTACACGGCTCGTCACTCCTGTGACTCAACCTTTTCAATACTACAAACTCAGCATCTGATATTACTCCGTAGCCTCCACTCAGAAATATTCATAAATTGATGACCGAAGTGTGTAATCGAGTATCCTCGTTTGTGACGGTGCAGATTTCCTGTCATACTTTAACTTTTTCCTCGGAAAACTTGTCAAAATTTTCGCTGTGAAAAGAATGATAACCCCTGTGCATGAGCCTAAAGAATCATTTTAAACCCAAAAATTGACAAAATTTAGAGAAATGAAAAGCAGGATACTGTTAGGAAAAAACCTCGCATTCGATTCAGCTATCGATTTCAATGCGATTCAGAATTGATTTCAGCTACCTAACACTATTCTGCTTTCATTTCCCTGAATTTTGCCAATTTTTGAGTTTAGAATGACTCTTTAGGCTTAAGCGCAGGGGCTGTCGTCCTTATTTTTGCTAAAAATTCAAAATCTGCCGAGATTTTCTACCTAATCGATGCGATACATCGTATGCCAGTTCGACCACGTCTTGAGCTTGACGAATTACCTAAAGAAGAGCGCAACAAAAACCAGCCGAGGCGTCTATCCCAATAAATCGTCAATGCTGATGAGGCGTCTGGAAATTTCGTGAACGAAAGGGTAAGTCAAAAGCGTAAGCCGGGATAGTGGGAGCCACCGAAAAGGAAGACGAGGGAGGAAACTTTTCCGTTAACTTTTCAGCAGAAAGTTCATTATTGATTGATGAACAGGTGCGTAGATAACAGGAACAGGGGGGCCGAGTCGTTAGCGGAGATGAGTGCGTATCTTAATTTTCACATGAGCCCTTTGCTCCGTATATATGTATGCTGCTCGGGGCTCATAAGGTATTAGAGATACGCCCTCACGTCAGAGGAGCGGCGAGATGTCGGTGCCGTGTATGCTTTATCATGGAAGCACACAGCGCGGCAGTGCCCTCGACTCAACCGTTAGCTCCGGAATAAAGCGGATCTCAGACTCCTCAAGCACGCGTCCGACATACTGCCGTGCTATGGAAAAACGCCGTATGAACCTTCAGGCATTGCCAAATTTCCTCTGATAAAACACGAGTTTATATTTATGAAATCGTTCATTATGATTAGTAACACCATTTGAAATATGATTAATGTAAGAAGAGATTAGCCAAGGTGTTAGGTGTTTTCACTGATTTATTTATTTAATAAACATACTGAAGTTTTTCGGCTCGCGGCCATCATCAGAGCTCACAAAGAAAGGTCAAAAACACAAAACAAAGAATACTTGAAAAAACCATTTCGCCGGTTACAATTATCAATAAAATACCGCTGTGTGAATATCGGCATAAAGTCTACTGGTAAATAAAAAATAAATAAATAAATAAAATAAATAAATCAGTGAAAACACCTAACACCTT